TCTGGATTATGGGCTGATATCTTAGGGGCCAGAAATATAGTTGCACATCATGTATCGAGCCTGATCTATAATGTCAATAACAATGTGGTTGAAGGTTTTAATAACGTGATTGCCAAGTACGTTGGTGGCAAAAGAATCAACTTTTCTTTACGAGGTATAATTATTATAAAAACATATCATATTATTGTAGGTAAAAATTGTATTTTTTTTTTAATCTTAAATTATTATTTTAGGATCGTATGGTGCTAGGTGTCATACTGCAGTGACATCGTTTAATTTGGGATCTGACTACATTAGTCACTTACATAAAAAAATGACTAATTTAAGTCCTGGTATAATAACAAAAAAATATATTAAAAAAGTTGATAAAATGAGCGAATTATCAAGAAGACGGCGTTTAAATTTAAAAAAACCGACGTAATTTAATTTATATATTTTTAAAAATAAATATCACACTGCAACCACTTAATATTATTTATAGATTTACAATGAATAAGCGTAAATTATTTTCTGGACCCGATGATGATTACGGAGCTGTGGAATTGGGTTGCGAAATAATTGATATGCCTTTTGATGAGTATCAAAATAAAAAGGAACTATTTTTGCAAAAGATTACATTAAAATCTGAAGAGATAGTAGCGATTGAACGAAGTACAATTGGACAGCAAGATAATGATATGTGGCAACAATATAGAAAATATCGACTAACGGCGTCCAACTTTGGAAAGGTTTGTAAGCTTCGACCAACAACTTCCCGTGCAAATACTGTAAAGCACATTTTGTACGATATTTTTCAAGGAAGTTCAGCTACGAGGTAAGCTAAAGTTTTTTAATGATTGAGACGTAGTTATTAAATATTATTTATTGATTTATTTTAATTTATAACTATAATTTGTAACTATGTTATAGATTAGTACCTATGCATTATATTTAAATATTATTTCGTTTATATAGGTATGGAATCGAAAATGAGTCAATTGCCAGAAACGCCGTTCAAGAAACTTTAGGAATAACAATACAATTATCAGGTTTATTTATTCATAAATCCCTGCATTATTTGGCTGCGAGTCCGGACAGGTTAATAAACGAAGACTCGATAATAGAAATAAAATGTCCGTCGAGTATAAAAGAATACACACCACAGGAAGCGGTTACTCTGGAAAAATTAAAGTATATGACCGATTATAAGGGGAAACTTGTTTTAAAAAAAAGGGACAATTATTATTTCCAAGTACAGGGCCAACTTAATATTGCCGAAAAAAAATATTGTTATTTTGTTGTATGCAGTCCCAAAGGTAATCAAAATATTATATACCTAGTCGTTATTAATCGTTTTTAAATGTTTATGATTTTGGCAGGTTTTATGATAGATAAAATACCTAGAGATGAATCATTTTGGAATACAAAAATTGAACCATTTGTTACTCGATTTTATATGGAGTCATTACTTCCAGAAATAATCGATTCTAGGTTTGATCGAGGATTACCAATAAGACCAGGCATTCCCGAAAAAATTGTTTAATTCTGTCACCTTTAGTTTTTATTTTATTTCTAATACATCTTGATTTTTTTGTATATTTATTTATGTCTTGCTATACAAGAAATTTAAACAAGCAAAAATTGCACACTTCTTATAAGCTAAAAGCTTGTGTTGGAATTAATTAATAATTAAATGTTATAAATATTCGTTCTAAAACTTTTTTTTTATGAAATATGTTAGTCAGTATTACTATTGATTTATTTTTAACTATAACTATTTATGAATGAATTACTTGTGATTTTTATTTTATGCAATTATTTAGCAGGCCGTTGTCCTAATATGGGTCACACACGCATACTACTCTAATTATTACGACTTAATGATTATTGTTAATGTAATATTAGATAAAGTTAGTTGACTAAAACCAGTTTTGGATATTGTGATGAATATCGCATTGTTGTAGAATATGCGGGTAGTAGTGGTGGCGTGTGTCTCACACAAATGAGCATTTAGTACTCACACAACAGTAGTAAGCGACTTCAACTGTTTAACTAAATGCCTATCGCTTACTCCTTAGAAATGGAGCACTTCCAATCCCCTTAACGTATCCATGAATTGTGAACATTTGATGAAAGAACTTTGGACGGCTTTTAAATGTTCCGTCTACGTAAATATTGTCGGTATCGTAAAGCGTTTTTAAATTAGTATTACTGTCGAAAAAATAATTATACTGGTATAAATATTATTCAACGAATTTTGTGTTTCTAAATAACTTTTAGGCAATCTTGGATGAATACTATTTCGGGAATTTCGTATATTTCGTTTGATAAAGGTTACATCTGATAATGTTAAAGGTGGTAAATCACTTGTTCCTATTTCTGTATGAATTAATTTAGCTGGTTTTCTGGAAATGTCAATGATTGCTTTTCTTTTTAGTGCACTATTAAATTGTTGTCTATTCAGAGCAGGGGTGGTTCCAGAGACTTGGTTGGGGGGCCTAATAGTTGTAATTTTCACAAAACTTATAACAACAAATATAAAAAACAACAATTTTTACAACTTTTATTATTTATTTTTAGAATAATAACAATACAATTCTTATCAAGACAATATTCTTAGTATTTCCCCAAGTTATATAGTATTCTCGTAGTCCACACAGATAGTAGATGCATGTTACAGCTCATACACCGACGTACAATTACATACTTTTACACGGGTCTATAATAATAGTCGATACTATAATATGTTTTTTTGTTAGCAATATACAATTTTTTAGAAATACGGGTTTTGGGCCTTGGGGGCCCCTAGGGCCCCCCCTGGAACTACCCCTGATTCAGAGATTCTTCATGTGGTTTTTAGTGATTGTGGTTATCAGAATTAAAAATAATAGAATTATAATAGTTCAATTTCAAATAACACTTACAATAATTTAAGTAGCAAGTGGCAAGTCCATCGTTGATTATCGTTTTTAAGTATCTTATGAAATCGGAATTTATGTCCGTCAACTATAAAAATTATCTTGTTTCGTTCATTTATCATTAAATCCATTGTACGACCGCAGCACTATTATAACAACTCTGTTGTTTGTAATAAATAATTTTAAGAAATGTAATTTTGAAGTTGAACACTTGAATTACAACCGGTGACTAGTTGTCATAGTCATCAGTATAATTGACGTATTGTTGGACGAAACGTTTTTTTTATAATCGCTAAACGGATAATATAGTGTGATATTGTGATCATTTTAGTGCTCACAGGTCTTTGCAAATACTATCGGAAAATCGGTAATCGATAATCACTATGTGGTGACTAGTCACTATAACAGTACTCATTGAATGTAAAGACATTTAAGTAGGTACATCGTCGTTATTTATAAATTATTTTATAGAAAAATATTATTGCTCGGGATTCAATTTACCTGCACTTTCGCTTTAGTGTATACCTCACTATAAACTAAACGGATAAACTGTTAGGCCTGTAAAGATAACCTAACTGTGGCTACATACAACATTAAGTACTTGTCAGCTATTATCGATAATAATAATTGTGCTAAAATTATTTGTGTGAAAAGAGCCTAATCTTTATCAACAATTTATTCCAATTGTTGAACTCTGGCTAGGACAACAATTTGTCTAAATGAATTATCTTTAGATAATAATGAGTAACTCAAATATTTGATTATGTGAACAAACATCGTATGTTAATATCATCTCGATTAATATTGGGTGCCTATGTATAGATTAGAATTCTATTCAGAATTGTTTTTAAATGTTATAAGTATAACATTAATGCTTTCAAATTCAGAACAATTAAATGTATACATATATATAATATATATATAAGACATACGTACACCTATGAATTATATCACTGTTTTGGCACTTTGGACTTTATCGGTTATCGCTTTTATAGGCAACAATGTTACCGAGCCTCCGCATTCCGGCGTCCGTATATCTATGATTCTTAAATTCAAAATTATAGTGGTACAATTTGGTATACAGATCCGAGTTCAATATAATTGAATAATTTAAGAGACCTGTCTTAACTCTTAATGCTCCTCAACCGAATTACGTAATATCATTCTGATGAAAATTTAAGATTGCAAATTTTTATTCGAAGAGCCAAGACTGCAAGTTCAATGCGAAAGTCGTATGACGTAGTGGTGGTATGGCTTAAACACGCGTAGGTAGTCACTAGTCATTGGTGGTTTTCCATAGGTCTTTTACTAATAGACCGGCCCTATAGCCTGCAGACAGTCAGGTATAAAGGGTGCTTTTCTTGTGTGACTTATGTGTGACTTACTGACTCGTGACTGCATCATAATAATTATGTATACTACTATGTATATATTATAAATAATTACTGCCAACTATCAATAAACAAACCTCAATAAACATAAACTATCATTTGGAGGACCGTGGAGGTGAAGCAACTGTTTTATTTACTTTATTTTGTTCACAAATTATATCATTTACATAAATACATTATAGGTTCCTTAAGTTGTATAAATTAGAATAAACTGACTTAAATATATACTTCCTCGACGCTACACCTTCTACATATTATATAGGTATTGATTGTTAGATATATTTTACTAGCTGTATAACCTGACTTTGCTTGGGTTAAAATTTTTAAAATTTGTTCTATCGTTTTCCATTTTACTTCAGTTTAAAATTATACAATATAAATCCTTAAAACAAAATAAAATAAAAGCAGTATTCATTTAAATATTTTATATTTTGTAAATGATGGATCACTGCTGTGCAGAGGCCAAGCAATGTGAAAACAGTTCAGCTCTCATCTAATGATTTAATTCGCGAAAATAAAAGATCTATAATATAGCTACCTCGTGAAATAAATTTCAATATGTTTATGTATAATTTATACATATATTATATTAAAGTAATTAATATAATTCCAAGGGCGTAGCAAGAAATTCCATCAGGATTCAAGGGGGGGGGGGGGCTGAAGGACAACCAAGTGTACAATTAAATATTTACCCCAACTTAAAATGTTGACGAACACTAATTCATGAGTTAGCTACCGAACACAATAGGTATTTATAGAAGGCAATGTTCTTATACTTTATTATTGTGTCTTAACGGTCGACAACGATATTAAAATGAAGATAAAAATACATAAATTTGTATCGTTCATTGATCCTTGCGGCGTTGTTCTTCGTTCGGCTCGGGACTGGGGGGTTCGGTATTGGCGGGCACGGCAGGACTTACGGCCACTGTAGGCTTGGCGGGCACGGCGGGACTTACGGCCACTGTAGGCTTGACGGGCACTGCAGGACTGGCGGCCGCTGGACCTCCGGACACAGGCTCCGGTTCCGGCTGCGTCACTTCCCCCGGCTCACCGTCGTCGGTCGCGTCGGGGTCGCCTGTGACGGCGGCGCTTATCACCGTGGTGGCGGCCACCACCGAGTCTCTGGTGCGGTTCAGCTGGTCTATCCACATGTCGATGTCCGGTTCATGTTCGACCAGGAACGGCCGGATGATCGTCTGGTACACCGTATCCGAGCCGCCCGCGCGCAACCACACGATGGCGCAGATCTTGACCACGTCGTAGAACGGCACCCACGGCCGGGCCAGGCCCTCCACCGCCCGGAACGCGCCGTACACGATCCAGTGGACGAGCAGCCTCCGCCACTGCTCCGGGTCGAGGCTACCTTCGCCCGCCTCGACGGCCTCCAGTCCCTTGTACGTCAGGTACACCGGTTCCAACATCATCAGTGCCGTTTCCGTGACGAACGCGAGTATCCCGAACATGGAGACGGCGATGGGTCAGCGTTGGATGCGCGCGCTGCTCTCGTATATACAAGACAGGAAGAAGACGTGTTCTCTGCGCGATTTGGTTGATATAATTGCTTATTACGTAATGTCGGTACTCACTTTCGGATCTCAAAAATATCGTGCTTATAACGCGCGACGTGTTTGAGCGTGCACGCGCACCGGTTGTGTGTGTGTGTGTGTGTGTGTGTGTGTGTGTGTGGGTGTGCGAGTGCGTGTGAGATAGTGTGTGTTTTCGTAGACTTGTATTAATCGTATTTAATTGTATAAAATGTATTCATTTTCGTTATTGTTATTCTCGAACGCGCCACAGAAACGTCGCATCGTTTAAATCGTCGTAGGAACATAATAATAGAATGCGTGTCCATGCGTATACAGAGTGAGTGTATCAAGATGATAATATTTGACGATATAATATTATAATTCAACAATCAAACAACCATATTGGTTGTACTGGTTATGGAATTATAGGCATTTCTGAACGCCACGGCGCGGCGACCGCTTTTGTCCCTCTCTGCAACGATATTATACCATAATAATTCACCCACACCGCCGACCAAAACATTTCATCTATTATAATACAAATCTGAAATCGAAAAAAAAAAATTGTTGATCATAAATAAGTCTTTGTGTATGGAGATCTGGACAAATGTCTACTTTGTTTACACGTCAATCTATATTATTATGTCTGGGATACACTCGGTAAATTATTTTAATACATGTGGCCTATATAATGTCTACAATAATAATGCGCACTATTGTTGTTTCGGATATTGTGTTTGACACTGTCAGATTTACGCGTGGGCGTGGATACAAACACAGTTATTAGGTATAGTGTTTATGCATCATAGCGCTAGCTAACTTAATATGATAATAAAATATATATAAAACTATATGTCGTAATAAAATGCTCGTAAATAAAGTATGTGTATAAGTAAAGGGGCCGATTTGTTTATTTAGGTTTATTATGGCGATGCCTGTTTTTGGTTTGGGAAGCTATATAATATAGATATTACCCGAATAGACTTGAATTATTCCAAGCACCCGCCGTTAGATGCTTCTGCGTGACTTATGTTGATTAAAATAATTGGCCTGCTCAACAAGATATTATTAGGTATTAATCAAACAAAGCTAGATATGTCAACGAAAGTAGAACAGGAATTGAAAGAAAATGTCGTATTATGTGTGCCGTAAATAGACTCGGTGTGCCAGTTATTTAGAAGCAAAACGTTTATTATATGTTTTATGATTGATGCTATTTTGTGAACGTCCTACTTGCAATATTGATTGGTATATCATCACAATAACAGGGATGGGTAAGATATTTGAAAAAAAAGATACATAGATAAGTAGGTACTTCAGATTTTATTTTACTTTTAGATATACATCTTGAAGATACCTTCTTCAATATCAAAAGTATGTCTCATAGATACTTACATTTTTTACCTATAGGTACAATAACATACCCTCATTTTAAATTCCGAACAAAGCGATGAGTTAATTGGTTTTATACAATGATGTTTTTCTTTTTTTTAACCATTCATTTTTATTGAAATGTCTGTCGTACAGTTTTGGAGAGAAAAAATGTTAACCCAACTGGAGGATAATTTTTGGGAGCAAATTGGATATAGTTGGTATTTTAGAGGTTGAATAGAAGAAAATTCTCAGTATTTTTTTTAAATAATTGATTAATTCAACTCAATGAAGGTAGGCGATTGGTACCGTTCCACTGCTATAGAGTATAGTTGTCGAGTGGGTCACTTTAATGAATCAATGGATGTGTTAAACTTGAATTCAATGACATACAATTATGACGTATGTGTAAAAACAATTCTGATGTCGATAAGTCATGACGGTCTACATTAGTATCTATATTACTAAGTATATTTTATGATATTATTGCTATAAAGTAATTAATTTTACTATTAGTCATACAGTTCAACCTGCATGATTTTTACCGAAAACATTTAAAAATATCATTATGCGTATAAAATATAAAAAAATACTTATATACTTTAAAATTTTCAGCTATTCAAATACCCAATAATAATATTTTTAAATTACAATGTAAAATGACTAAGATCGTTATTCTTTGTTTAAATGTTTAATTTTGTCCAAATTTGAACTTCAAATGTATAGGTTTAATTAATGTACTGTGTTTATGTACTAATTAAATTTTTTTATTACAATATGAACTATTAATGAGAAATTTTATTCTACATTTTCAATTCTTGGCTACAAAAATTAACATTTTATTTATTTGTAACTAGGTACTAAATAATTTGCATAATTTCTTGGTTATAATGAATTAGGCCAAAATAACTTTAAAAGTTTAAACACTTATAAAAAAAAATTATGCCTATGTATATTCAATATTTTTGAACAATTATTATAAAAACTTATGGATTATGAGCAGGGTTCAGGAAATCGGGACTTATAGCATTTGCATATCCATCATAGGTGACGTAAAACATAGCAGAGTGGTAAACAAATACGTTAAGTGTTACGGAGACATCAAATTTGAAATTTTAATTTGCATATTTTGGGGGTTTTGCATATTTTAGAGGTTTTTGTATATTTTTTTTTTTTTGGAAATACTGATGCATATTTAACGATTGATTGGATATTACTATTCAAAATAAATGTTCTGATTAAAGCTATCTTTTACAAAAATGTTGCACATGAACGTGATTTATAATAACTCAATAAATCGAAAACCATATATAGTTATCTGAGATGGTTAATTGAAAAAACGTCTGATATGAGTACTTATCTACATTCTTACATTCGTATTGCTCGGCAAATGATGAAAATAATCTATCTAGTGATCGATAAATTGCACTGGTGCACTTTTTTTCAGAACATTCAAAACTCAGTTTTTAAAGATTTTATTTTAATTTTTTTAAATTTATTAATCAATAATTTTATTTCAATTTCAATTTTTTTTTATATTTATATGAAATAAATCCTTTTTTAATGACTTTTTAAGTGCTTTTTCTTTTCATTTTTAGTGCATATTTTTAAGTTTATAGGGTCACATATAAGCGCAATTTTCAAATTTTTTGACTAAGAGGAATTAATAAAATAATAATAAATAATTAATACAATTTATTGACAAAAATTTAAAATAGCACAAAAAAATGTCAAAATACTTTGAATATTTTATTTAGTACATAAAATGTTAATATAAACAATTTTAGTGGAAATCTTGAGTATCTACGATTAATCGTTTTTATGTTACAACAAAAAAAAACAATTTTTGAAATTTTTTAATTTAATACAAGGCTCATCATAAGTTGCTATGATAACAGTTGGAAAATACTAAAGATACGTTTGCACCTTAATTTGCTTAATTCCAATAGCAAAAAAGTTTTTTAATAGAAATATCATGAAATACACTGAGAATAAAAGCTGACAGATTATTTTCTCTCAGAATCGTTTATCGTATACAATGATATCTAATTTATTACAAATTTAACACCACCCACTGTTTAGCAAAACAGTTCCCATTTTTTCACTTCTCTCCCAGTATTGACTGATTTAAAATTTATAATTAATAATATGATATAGGGTGTATAGAATATTTTTTTCAAAAAATACCCCTTACCCCCTACCCGGTTCTACCTTTATTTTGAAGTACCACCAACTTAACCTAATTGATAAATAAATTACCTGCAATATAGTAAAATAAATAAATTATAAATTGCTTTAGATATTGATACCGTCCTTACTCAGAATCGTTTTTCGATTGCAATGATTTATCATTTATTTCAAATATAACTTACAGAACAAAGAAATATACTCAGTGAGAATAGGTACACTCGATACTTGCTGTACAACAGAGCGGCTTTCTTGGATTTTTTAAATAACTAAATAACAATTCTAAAATATTGTGGAATATCAAATACTTCAATATTATTTATTCAATCAGTTAGCAGCGTTATGTAATAGTGTACACTGTTAATACACATACAGTAATTAACGCATAACAATACAATAAAAATAAATAACTTGGAATTGATATGTTATGCAGTGTTGGCTTTTATTTGTAATGAAATTAAAATTATAAACATTGACGATTGACATACAACTTTTTCAAAGTAAAAGTCAAAATTATATTGTTATTAAATGACAAAATAACAAAAACTACTTTATTAGTTATTATTATTCGACGCCCCAATACGAAACATCATGTATTAATTTACATTAATATTAATTAACCAAGATTACATAATCACAGAAAAAAATTTAAATAAATAATACTAATATAATATTTGTCATTGTTTTTAAGGAAATTTAAATTATTTAGCTCGACTGTATTGGTTACAAAACGATCAACACTAAAGGTCAAACCCGATCAAACTTTTACTAGGTACCGTGTTTAGTCATTGTCATCAAAATATAATATTTGACACGACGTGGTGAGTTGTGAACCCATCGTGATATTTTTCGTCGCAGCAAATCAGTCTTAGAAAAACGATCGTTTGCGATGCCTATGCATCCCATCAAAATCGGGAAATTATTATCCCAAAGGTCACGATACTGAAAAAATATGTATCAAATATGTAGTTTGTAACGATTAAAAAAATATCGATAATTTTTAATTATTGTTTTAGCGGTTAAGTATGGTTTATTTATAGTTTATTTGGTTTGGTTAGGTATTTATGCAAAACCAAAATAAAAGTATATAGTAATTACACTTGCAATTTAATATTATATACAATTCCTTTTAAATAGTTCAAAATGTACAATACATATTCTACCATAATTTCTATTTTTTTATCTGTGCACATTTCCACCGTCGAACGTTTATCGTCGCGCTTAATAATGACCGTTACAAGTTGTGACTTTTCTAGTGACTCGAATTTATCGACGACTTTATCGATGGCAAAACCTGAGGGTGGTCGTAGTCCATCCTCAAGCTTTATATGACACGTTACCACGTGGTAACCTCCGACTACCACTGTTCGCCGTTCATA